TTATTATTGTTTTATTTAAAATTTTGAAACGTCGAGTGAACGAGCGTAAATGCGATAGAACTTTATTCAAAAATTAATTTGAAAAACAATAATAAGTAAGAAAAGCACTGACATTTAAACGTCAAAAATATTATTGACAAAAATTGCAAAGCCTGCCAAGATTTTTTCATTAAAAATTCATTCCAACTTTTGATCGACAACCTCGTTGTTTAACGGGCAGTATTCTCAAAAATTAGTCGTTTTTGGAAAAATTTTAGAGAGACAAAAAGTTTTACGATACTTTCGTCTACCTATGTAAAATTTTTCTAATTGTATTTATCATCTTTATACAAAAAATTTTAGCAAAAATGTAAGGGGGTGGTTAGATTTAGTAGTTTAGAAGGGTAGGTTGAAAGGACAAATAGGGTCAAAACGTGCCCTATTATGAGTTAAACATATTTCCCAAATTTCATTTTCCTAGCGTTTATGGTTTTTGAGAAAAAAAGATTAAACCAAAATTTTTCGCCATTTTTGAAGGGGCGTAGCTCCGTAGGGGTGTCGAAATCGCTCATAGTTTATATAAGAAAGAACCCTTAAAATTGCCTAAAGAATCACCCCCTGAAGTTTGGGCACGTCATTTAGATACACCTGTAGATACTAAAGTTTGTTTCTTAACAGAATATTCCGTTGCATTTAAAGTAAAGCAATAGCAAAAAAACCTTATTATTGCTAAATTAGACATACATTTTAAGTATTATATTATAGGTTACACTTTTACCAATATTATTGTATTAACAAAACTATAAAATTTTGCGACATATTATCTTGTATCATCAAGATATATATATAGTTTGCAGTGTATTTCGTATGTCTATGTCTATTACCGTTGTTGCTCAAAACAAGGCAAAGAAAGCAAAGAAACAAAGAATTGTTTACAAAATTAGGCCCAAGATTCATCATTGGAGAAGACTTCAATATTAAACACACAGTGTAGGGTTCGCCGTTAATAACGCCTGGTAAAGGTAAACAAATCAAAAAGTTCAAAAATTTAATCAGAACAACATAACAACTAAGTCAATTTTTGTATAAATATTTTTTTATAAATATCCAAATTTCCAGGAATTGAATTGTGAAGTTTTCAAATGAACCTGAATTACAATTGACTGCTTTAATCATTATACATTTAAAGATTAATGTTGATTCAACTATTTTACAGTGACATTTCCCTAATGGTTCAGCAATTTCTGTTTTAATTACAGACATTTGTATTTTTCGCACAAATGTCTTTATAATTACGGACAAATTGAATATCAATTAACTTTGATATTATCAGTTGATATTAACAGAAAAAAAATGATTTAAAAGAACTATAAAAAGAAGGTAAATTTTGAGTTTACCAGAAGTAACACCAAGGATTTCAAAATGTTTAAGAAAAGTGGGCGAAAAATTCCTGTTTACGAAAAAATTGGTAAATATTATCTTAAAATATTTTATGATTCTTAATAATATAAAAAATTTCTAGTGAAGTACACAATAATGTGTTTAAAAAATTGTATTAAAAATTTTTTCAAAAATTCTAATCTACACGGTTGTCGATATATAACGGACACCGGAAACGGAGTAATCGCTTCAATTTGTTGGGCAATTATCCTTTTTACCAGCGTCTTGTTTTGTATTACCCTCATCATGATCCAGCTAAAGCGATTTCAAGAAACGACGATTTTAAATTCGATTGCAACCACGGGATATCCCGTCTGGAAAACTCCGTTTCCTACCGTTATCATTTGCAACAACAACATCGTTTACAAAACGAATTCTGAAAGAGTAAAAAAATTAATCCTTTCAAAAGGATTTCCCGAAGAAGATATCGATGCATTCTTTGAACATCTCGCCGCTTTGGTCGTTTGTCATGATTGCGACGATAACAAAAGCCTGTATAACAATTCAATGGATGTTAAGATATTTTCAGCTTTGGAGGATTTTAATTATGACATCAATGAATTAATGATGGAGGTAAAATAGTTATCTATGTAGAGAATTATGAAAAGATTAATTTTTTCTGCCAAAGATAAAGAAAGTTAGCGAGTTTTTACAATTTTCATGAACCCAATTAAGTTAATCTTTTCATTATGTGTTAAGTATAAAATTTTATCTAACCCTGTTTTAAAACAAAGAGTTTTGCGATACAGTAAATAGTAAATATTTAATAACTGTGTCCCATATACGCAATATTCTAATTAAGAAAATAAAGCATTTGGTTATCTGAAGACAACTGAAGTATGCTGAAGTAAGCATACAAGCCATCAAATCATGTTGATGCAAATTGGCTTGTTTTAATTTGCAATATTAGCCATTATATCTTCCAATAATTTTGCGACATCTGCATTAAATTATTAAATATCTTATGGAATGTATCTAAATTATGAAAAAATGATAAAAATCTGTAAATTAATAACCATTTAAAATTACATTGGAGTGAAGTTAGCGACGTTTCGACATCCCTAAGTTGATTTTCGTTACAATTAGAATGCTACACATGAAGGGGTGTCAACCTAAATAAAAATAGGTGAAATTCGCTATGTTATATGGAAAAAAAAATATTATATATTATGTATAAAACACACGCATGAAAATTTTTTTATATGAAAGTAAGTATCTATGATAACTGTCAAAAACTTAATATAATACAAAGAAACAAATATGAAAATAAATTAAAAAAGTCAGTTCAAACACAATAAATAATTGTGTTAGTACTGTTATCACTGAAATATGAAAGGTAAAAAAAATAAAGACTAAGAAATTATACCTTTATCTAAAAGTTAGTAGATTATGCAGAATTGTGTTTGTGTTTGTTGATAAATTTTACACAAAGATAACAAGTTTGGTCGCTTTTGTAAAAATCTTCGACGCCCTAGGCATATTTGATGTGATACATTCTATTACAACTATAACAGGTGGAGCTACTGTATTCGTTGTTTTGCCCACAAAAAAGAAAACAATATTTGTTCATGTCCACAGAATATTGTAAAATTGTTTCCTGAAGAGAACATCTATAATTTTTAAAATCTATTTTTTCAATACATGACTTTTCTTTGACGATTTGATTAAAGTAATAGATTATGAATGCCCCACAGTCATAACCATTGCTTTGGTGATAATGATCTGGTATTGTCATTCTCCATTCATCTTCATTAAATCTTGCAATTTTTAAAAGTTTTTTGAAATATTTTGGCTTCTCGTCTATTGTTATTTTGGCTGTTATAATTTTCATTCATGTGTTTTATATATTATATTTGTTTTCCATATAACACAGCGAATTTCACCTATTTTTATTAGGGGTTGACACCCCTTCATGTGTAGCACTCTAATTTTAACGAAAATCAACTTAGGGATGTCGAAGCTAT